TGGCTGATCAATTGACCAGCTTGCCAACCCGGAAAGGATCAATGGCACTTTTCCTAAGAGTACAGATTTTAATTTAGAAAAATGTATCAATTTCTGTGACATCGTCTTACCAATTCCAACTTCCCAATGCTGTTTGAAGTAAAATTAAGTCTTAGGTCCCCTCCTAAAAGCTGTTAAATAATGTTATGAGAGACAGTGTGTCTGTTATGTTCCTTCTCAGAAATTACTGCATCAAGGAGTTACTGAGCAATCTTAACACACATGCATACCACCTGTGAAACAGTTTGGGATACCATAGCACAAAAGGCATGATGTAAATTTTCCAAATCCTGAAATCTTAGCCCTTCCTGAAGGGAGTGGTATGCATGTTTTGATTGTTTGTTTGTTTTTTTCAAGTAAGGACTGAATAAAACCAAAGTAAGGACTACTGGGTTCACCATTTTCTCCTCTTTATTTTGCTTTGACACAATGCAAATAGTTAGAATAGCGAACATGGATAACGAATGTACAGAAGATTGGGCGATGCAACTTGATCTGTATAAATTAGAGAAATAGGCTAAGTAACAGAATGAATCTAATAAGAATAAAATACAATAAGATGTGGAATATCAATGAGAAATCAAAGTGAGACATTTTTTGTGTTGCTTTCTCCGGTATATTTAATTGATTGCAGTCAAGGCACGTAGAGGTAATTGTACTAAATCATGATAAAAACCAGTACTCCTCTTTATGCAGCACTGGTAAAGTCAAGTACTGCATGCTTTTTAGAAGTGGTTGGAAAATGTTATTTCCCTAGAAAATATTGATAGAAAATATAACTTTTGTAGGAAAAAAATAGAGTAGTTTTTAATTTTAACTTTTTTTGAAATTTTCTTAATTTTGACAGGAAGTCAAAACTTGGGAAAGAAAACTGGAATTTGTGGTTAAAACCCCATCTCTGAACACCAGTTTTTAATTTACCATTTACTATGCAAAAAACTTTTCAAGAAAGTAGACTTTGCAAATTTTTATTTAATTGAAAACCCAATTTTCTATCAAAAATAAGTTTTGCCTGGCTTGAATTATGTGTATAGTCTGAGTTACTGTGTTAGAGAACAGATACAGAAAAACTAGAAGAGTGTGGTAGGAAAAAAACCCCACTAAACAGTTTGAGGAGAATGGCATAAGAAGATAGGGATAATGAATGTACATAGGACAGGAAATAAAGAACTCCTAGATATGTTTGAAATAGCTGTTAAGATCCTATTGCCCTTGTGACTTCTCTCCACAATACTTTATTAGATCCAACTGAACAAACTTTTTAATATAAACTTTAAAAAGTGCTTTAAACTTTAAACAGTGCTTCCTGTTAGCGTTTCCTGGTGGTACGTGAGCCCAGGAAAGTTACCACAATATTAAAAGCCTTCTAGGATATTTTATTGAAGCTATTTATTTGTGTGACATTTCTTTTTGGTTAGCAGTTTCTCATGGGTATAGACATGTTACTGGAGTTATAAGACTTTGGAATAATATATTTGATTGCTCTTCATCTCATACTTCGTGTGTCCAGACAAATGCTGAACCCCAGGCCAAAACTTCCATCAACTTTCATGTGCTTGCCTGGGTGTAACTGGGGGCAGTATCTGGACCTTGAAAATTACTCAACTGACTTTGAATAGTTTGACCAGATTCGTATTGTCATTTATTTCCCTTTCAGGGCAAATGTCAAAGCAGTACCAAATATACCACTCAGCTGGATCGGTGGGAAGATCAGTGCAGGTGTTGTACAGCTACTCAGACAGAGGTGGTGGAAGTCCCTCTCTTCTGTGTCAATGGCACGGTGGTGCAGCATGCAGTATCATCTGCATTGGCATGTGAATGTCTGCCCCGTAAATGCACATAGTGGATCTGTCCAGAAGCATATTCATTTCACCTTAATTTTTATGACAAATGGGAATTTACCCGGCAATTCTCATTTAAGTGGCTTTTTTTATATTGCTACAACCACTGCACTCACTGTATCAATGTACCAAGCAATAAATGTAAAGCTTATTTACTGACAACTTATTTACTGACAGCTTATTAGACCAACGTGGCTACAACCTACACACCTGTAAGCTTATTTACTAGCATTTTGGCCTGTTTTACTTTCTGAATCCTGGTGAGAAATCTTCCAACTGTCCTTTTTTTCAAGTGTCATTACTCATTTAATCCTAAGTTAACTATGTTCAACACAAATGTAGTGTTGCTGAAAAGTAACTCCATCATAAAATCATAGATAAGTAGGGCTGGAAGGGTCCTCAGGAAGTCATCTGGTTCAACATTTGCTCAAGGCAGGATCATCCCTATCTAAACCATACTGTAAAAGTGTGTGCCTGACCCGTTCCTAAAACTACACAAACATTCCTGTTGCACAACTAGAAAGCATATTGCACAAAGACACAGAGAACACCCTAACCTGCCATGAGTAAAGCAAGGGGATGAGGGGCTGGTCAGTGTCCCACCACTGGCGCATGTGCCCCCCCACTGTGACCAGTCCCACTGACCAGGGGGGGTCCCCCATGGCTGATCTCGCTGCCTGGGAGGGGGGGAGAACGATCTTGCTGCCTGGGGGGACCCCCACAGCCGTGATGGCTGATCACTGTAGCCAATTGCTCCAGCTGCTTCCAGGCGTGGCTGTGGCTGCAGCTGTAGCTGGGAGCAGCTGGAGCAACTGGCTGGTGCTTGCGGGGGGCCACCGGTACTCCTGCTTGCCTCCTCCGCCCATCACCTAAGCGGCGAGCACAGCCGGTGAGGGGTGCACCAGTGGTCCCCTTGTGCAGGGTGTGCTGGGCTCGGCTGCACTCTGGATGGGTGGCAGAAAGTGCTGGGAGCAGGGGCTATGTGTTCCCATTGCTCACCCAGCTGGGGCAGGGAGGCATGGGACAGTGCCACTGCGCTGCCTTAGACAAGTGGCGCACAGCAGCGGAAGCTGCTCCAGCCTCCCTGCACCTCCCAGACATGTCACGGCTTCGCCCTGTCCTGGGCGAGCAGTGGCAGGGCATGGGGGCAGGTGCATGCACTCAGAGGGGGTGGGGCCCATGGCAGGGGCTATGGGGAATTTTAGGTTGGCTGCAGTCCCCCTATTGTCCCTGCTCCACTGCACTCTGTGGGGCAAGTGGAGCCTGGGCTGTGCTCCAGGTTGTGGCTGTGGCTAGCCACCTGGAAAGCAGGCCTGGCTCCACCTGTCCTGGTAGCAGGTGGCTAGGGCTAGCCCCCCGGAGCACAGCTCGGCCCAGCCCACCCTGCGCAGATCTGGGGGCACATGCCCGCTCCCACTCCCATGCCCTCCCAGACCTGCAGCAAGAGCCATCAGAGGAACCACTGGAAGAGCAGCCCCTTTAATTTGGCAATGTGTGGCAGTGCGCAGTGGCAGAAGCCCTCTTCCCTGAGTCCCACGTCTCCCCACCCTCACTGTGGGGGCATTCATCTGCACCCCCCATGCCCCTTCTCTCCACCCTCTGCCCACCACAACAGACTTACCAGGTGGAGGCAGCTGTGTCCTGTCCAGCATTGTTGAGGACTGCTGCCTTTATAGTGTATGGCTGAATCTCCAAATTGATTCGGAGGCTTCCGAATTTATTCAGACCTTTTAATGAGTCTCCTGATTCAGATTCAGAGGTTTGGGTGCCAAAATCAGGCCAAATCTCTTCTGAATCAAATTGGCTACCGAAGCTTCCCACAGCTCTAATGTATGCCCATCATGGCAAAGACCTCCTTGTCCCTGGCTTCTTTGGAAAAAAATGCAGAAACAGTCTCCTAACTTGTTTGCTTCCTTACATAGTCCCAGCCCTGAACATTCAGAGGTGATGCTGCAAGTAAAGTCAGTCAGGGAGGATTCAAAATCCCCCCCAGCACACACACACTCTCCTTGGACCCTTCTTTGAATGTCTGGTTCACTTTCCCACTGCCCCTCAGCTTATCCCATGGCCTACACTGATGGGTTGTCATCTCAGTAGGGTACATTAGCACACACAGAATGCCCTTCTTATTAATGCAGCTCTACTGATTCCAGGAGCTTGAACTAGTTTGGGTCTCTCCATGCAGCTCTGCACTGTGAAGTGTAGACATATTCTGTGTCAAAGGTAAAAGCTCAGGTGGGGGTTTGTGCTGAGCCTCAGTAGTTCCACCAACATGCCAAGCAGGATGGAAAGTGGATTGAAGCAGCAATCAGTCAACAGCAGACTCAGTTTGGGAGCTGCTGCTTCTCCAATGAAGCAGGTTATACCCAAACCCTGGGAACTATACCACAAGTTGGGTATCCCTGTCTCAGAAAGAGTATAGACAGCTTATCCCTTACTACACTGAGCACATGACAGAAGCTCCCTGCTGTTTACTTTGGAGGACACTTGAGTTGAATGTCCAATGGGGGGAAAAAATATCCTCAGCTGCACTTGGATCAAGTACCACGAATTTAGCTTTTGTTGCATTAGTCATGAGAGCTCTGATATAATCAGCCATGAAGCTGTAGCTAGCTTGGTTTTGTTGCAGTTACTGGGAATAAGACTTAAATACTGGCAAGGATGGATTTATCCATGTAAAAATTGTACCTTGAGGAAAGGCTCACACTTTTTCTCATGTAATAGTGGTTTAGGGGCAAATGCTGATTTTATCAAAGAGCTGGATTCTATTGACCTATTAGGCACATAGATAGATGTTGGATCTTAGTGCAATTTTAGTCCACCCTGTTTGAGTCCCTGAAAAATTGTTAATATTAAAAGTGGGTGGGTCCACCTCCTTGCTGCTTTTTGGGACTCGGTTCTAAAGGTAAGATGACATTATGTTACAAAAGTGCAACCCTTTAACAGTTTTCAGGTACTTGAGCAGGGAGGAATTGAATTGCTCTTTGGTTTCCACCTACGCACCTAATTGGTGGAATAGATTCTGGCTGCACATGTTTTGTGGAGTCTTGCCTTGTTATTTTATCAAAGGTCTCAGTGCTCCTCCCCCTTCTTAGCATGTGAAAGCTGACAGGATTCCCTGCTTAAGGTTGGATGGCTGTGGATGTGCCTCCTAATCAGATAATTGAATGAGTCAGCCACCAGCTTATCAGAGTGGGAAGGACATGCAGGGACATCCACAGGGCAGAGGAGACCATTCCACTGTTTTCTGGAGGTCGTGAAGGGGGAGGTATGTACAGATTTGCATAATTTGCCAGGGCTACCTTTCAAGACTCTTGTTTGGTCAAAAAAATACTGGACTGTAACAGTAGGACTACAAACCAGAGCCATATTTGCTCTACGAAGGTAGAAGTCACTCATTAGAAAGCCACTTGCTTGTATGCATTTAAAGCTAAATTCACAGCTGGTGTAAATCAATGCAACTCTTCTGAGATCAATGGGTCTGTTAATTTACACAGGCTGAAGAATCTGACTTGTATTATCTGACTATCCTTAACTATGATTGCATGTTCTATGCTTCAGCACCTATAGCAGGAGTTTGAAAAAAAAAGTGGCATTGTGTAGTAAAATTGATGAGAAATTTTTTTCCTTATTAGTCTTTTGCTTTCCAAGATGCAGGTTATTTTTTACTAGGTTATTACTACTTGCAATATGGGAACTCCTCTGTGACCCGAGCAAGGTGAAGACTAGGTGTTTCACATACATCTTGTGAAAGAGAGTTCTGCCCTGAAGACCCTATCATCTAAATAGTCAAAAAGTGACAAAGGGGAGAAAAAGGGGGCATACTGTTAACTTCATTTTGCAGGTTAACTTTTCTGGCTTTGTCCAGATGAACATGAACATGCATTTCCCTGGGGACAAATAGCAGCATAGTTGTACCACTGTTACTTGTCCCTGGGTAACACCCCTGCACATGAGCTGTGGCCAATGGCAAATTGCCCCAGGTTGGGGTAGGAGAGGATGGGACCAACACCTGGGTTAGCCCCAGCAGCCTTACCTGGGGTGGTGGCAGTCTGGGCATGCGGAGTCTGCCTGGCAGCTGGAGTGTGGGTCTGGCCAGCTAGGCTTCAGTTTTGGGCAGCCCAAGTTGCAGCCACGTGTGCCACTCTGCTTTTTTTTAATTTTTTTTTTTTTTAGATACCAGGATTTCCTGGTATCTAATTTGGGCTCTACGCTGCAAATATGCAGCATGAAGAAACTTTTCATGTACACTGTGTGTGTTTTGCAGCACCTCAAATATATATATAGTCAAAGTTTCTTAGGGGTTTCACTAGGGATACTGGGCTTCCCTATAAAAGAACTAAGCAGCCAAATGAGAAAAGTTTTTTTATTAACTACCTTAACACACTGCTGTATTTTGCATTTGAACAACACTGCTTACAGGCCCGAGATGAAGTCACTGGGAGTGCACTGATCATGATAAACTGCAATAAAATACAAGGGGAATGGGGCACAAAGGAGGCTTTGGCAGATAGATAGATAAATCTATTTGAGTACTTCTCAAAATTAAAGTCTGCCTCCTGAGTCTTATCCCAGGACTATATATATGGGATGAAACCTAGGAGATGGACGTTAATTTTGGGAAGTACTCAAATAGATCTATCTATCTATCTATGCCTCCTCTTTGTGCCTCATTCCGTTTGTATTTTATCTCAGTTTATCTTGATCAGTAAACTCCCAGTGACTTTCTCAGGCCTGTAAGCAGGTGTCTGCTTAATAGGGTGGTTCAAATGCAAAAAGCAGCAGTGTGTTAAGGTAGTTAATAAAAGAGCTTCTCTCACGCAGCTGCATAGCTCTTTTATAAGGAAGTCCAGTACCCCTAGTGAAACCCCTAGGAAACTTTGGCTTTTAAGGGAATATCAGCATTTTAATTTTGTGCATACCTTTTGCAAAGGTTGTTGGTTATTCAAAGTACTTTTTAGTGCATCTCAGTAACCTATGCAGAACTCACCCCTGTGCTTCAACAGCCTGGTATTAGATTGGTGAACTTGCCACAGATGAGAAGATAGATTACAGGAACATTAAATGGATTTGGGGAGAAGTTTTATATAACTTCTTAATAATTAAAAGCACGTAATCTCTCAGTTAACTTTTACAGCCTTCTAAGCCCCACACCTCTCCAGCCGGTGAAACACAATCTGGTATAATGGCATTACTTGTCAGAGGCTCTGTGTTATCAGCTAACACCATCCCCAGGTATGTTGGGAAACACAATGACCATCAGGTATGATGTTCTTATGGCAAAAAAATCATCTAAAAAGATTGACTCTCTTCATCTAATTCAGTGAGGTATTGTTTACCATCATGTCACCAATAGGGCATATTACATATGCCCTTTCTCTCTCGGGGTTGTTTTACCTGTGCTAGCGTAGTTGTAATGGACTAGCGCTCTGGTTGTATAGGAGCCATTTAATCTGAAACCATGCAAGAAGAACCCCTATGCCAACATGGATCCACATTAAGACCTGAAGTGATATTCCCATATAGCCTTTAAAATTAAGCCCAAGTATTACCTTTATATGCCTTAGGCTTTCTTTACAATACAATTTGGTATTGCATTGTACAATACAATGCTGATAATAAAAATAAATCCTATGAAGTAATATATTGAAATCCCCAGCCCTCAGTCAATAAAATATAAAAGTGCAAGGTGTTCACTTTAGCAGGTTGGATAGTTGGTTGTAGAAGCCCAAGATAAAGCAGCCATTCAAGGTTCTGCCTTAGTTGGGGGTATGTGTAGACCACTTCTGCACTGCTCTGGAGAGTGCTGCCAAGAAACGCAACTCACCACCTCCCACTCCATATGCATCAAACTGGGATACAAAGTAGTGAACTCCCCTGAGAGCCGCTCTCAAGATATGCTTTCAGTGTGTTTGAGAATGACAAGAGGGGTTGCCCTCAGAGTGGCTTTGCTGCTTCATCCTTTTGTTTGGCCCATGCAAAGCAAGAGTAGGTGGGCAAAGCATACTTCTTGGTGGTGCCTTCTGGAGGGCTGCAAAAGCATGTATAGATAGAGCTTTGGAATCCTCTCTGCCCTTACGGACATCTCACAACTCTCAGTGTCATGAATCTGATTCTCTAGCATGCTGACCCAACTGGGTGTAAAAAGCTATCATTCTGATTTAGTAGCAATGTGCACCTGCATTGTTACAGGTGTTAGCAGCCTACAGAGGAACTGAGAATCAAGCTCTATGTCTGGCCAGGGTTGTAGAACTGGACCAAGCAGGCCTAGCAAATAGTTATGGTGGAACTATTGTGAAAGTGAGGAGGGATTCTCTGAAATGTTACTGTATTATTTGCTTGTCATTACTTCTACGGCGGCAGTGCCCCAAAGTCTTAGTGATGAGCCAGAACACCATTGTACTTGCTCTGTGTAGACAGAACAAAAGGACAGCCTTTGCCTCAAATTGCTTATAAAGCAACTTGGGAGCATCTTTCACCTGCTACTGGAATCCAAGAGTCCTGATATTAGCCTTAACCTGGAAGTAATTCCCTCCATTTTTTTTGGATACTGCCTGTCCCAGGTCCAAAATTGGAAGACATTCATTTTTAAAAACATTTTAGGAGAACACAATTTCCACTTGCCACTAATGCTCTGAACAAATGTGATATTTTGATAGTACTGAATCTTGCTGACATATCACCCTGGAAATATTAGATGGCACCTTTCCTTTCCAAACAAGGGATTCAACAGAATGGGTCAAATAGTTTGAGCAAAAATCAAATTAACGGGGGAAAAAAATCTGTACCTTTTTCTATCATCTCTAATGTTAAGAAAGAATGACTTGTGTTTCTAACCATGAATCTTAAAGAACTCTACAAACATTAATGGCTTGAGCTTTGCAAGACACATATGTAGAATTTTAGGCATTACTTACCTTCTTTCAAAGACTAGTAAGTTGAAGTGCAGAAAAGATAAAAGATTTGTCCAGCATTATAGAATAGTCAGTGTCACACAGTGGACAATAGAAGCCAGATATCCTAACTAGTGTTTATTTGCTATAATCTTTAGGTTCTCTGAATTCTACTTTCCATTTCACTTAACCAGGAGCTGTTCTGGTAACATCACTAGAGCTGCATTAATGGGAAGAGAGCAAAATTAGGCCCAACTTCTTTAATATAGCTAAAATGGGATGTCTATAGGCAAGATGTTTAATCTTATTTCTTTTAGTCTGACTGAGGCGTATCCTGCTATTCCTTGATGTGGAAAGTGTTTAATACTGTGCTTGAACCAGGGCAGCAGTCTGAAAAAAAGAGTTCAGAGATCAAACTGGACTGACCATGTCTACATCCATCACACGAACAGGTGTTCTGGTAAGAACGTGCATGCACAGGATCTCGGTGTACCTAAACCCTTCCCCATTAAAGCAATCATGTCTGTGATGACCATCTCCCATGGTTATATTTTTCTAATGTTCTATCCTGGTTCCTAACTGCTCAGAAGAAGCCAATATTTTAATGTGGGTTTGTTTATAGCAGTGTTCATATATACACCTGGGCTGAGCTTGGTAGCTATAGCAGCACAGAGCTCAAACACAGGCCCAAATATGTACCCGGCTTCTAAGGAAGGTATTGCACCCTGCATTGAGTTTTCTCCTGCTTTGACTACATTGCCACCAGTATCCCAGCTTGTTGGTTGAAAGTTACTTTGGACATCTCTAAGCAGTGGAGGCATCTTTGTTTGCTGTACCCAATACTATAGAGTGCACTGCACGTCATGCTCCACTTCCTTGTGCTAAGCCCTACTCCAATAGTTAGTCATTTAATTCAGCTTTTTAAGTAAATCTCATGTTGCTCACACAGTTGTTTCTTTTCTCCCTTCCAAAGGGAGAAGAAGCTGTAGTGTGAGATTTCAAGCAGCCAGCAGAAGAAAAAGATAGATGTAGGGCTTCAGTCGGAACTGGTTTTATCTCCTCAGTCTTTTCATTTTCAAATAAAAAATCTTGCTTATGAAAACTTTACGTTGGCAACAACACCTGTCCCTGAAATATTGCTTAAGCCTCAAGGTTGAAGGCTAAACAGGACCCTTTGCCCAGTCTGACTATACAGTAGATTACAAGATAATCCCTTGAATATTTTATGCAGGAATGAGTGTGCAGCATCCGGGCAGCAGGGTAACATGAGCAGTTGAGGCGCAGTCTTATAAAAAGGTTTCTACACTCAACTCCTACCAGGTAGCAACATTGTAAAGCCTCACAGGCTGAAACTCTTTGCAGTCAGGGGAAAACCAAAGTCTGGGGCTGTCTAACCCTTGCATCACTGGCCTCTGAGGCAGAGCTGATTTTGACTGAGATACCTTTTATGTGGTTTATTTGGGGGGCTTTTTTTGCCTGCTGGCTTCCAGTGCCTGACAAAATATGCCTGTTGCTGCATGACTTATTGATTCTTTATGAAGTGTGAGGAAGAGATGCTGGAATTCCAGCAGAGAGGTGCCATAGGCTCTCTGGGTGTGGGTAGTTTCTTCCCTCCTCTCCTTCTGTGATGGGGTTATTGAAAGACAAGGTCTGGCTAATTAGCTGCAGCTGATGGTTTGCTTAAATCAGGCTCAAGCAGGGATGGAAATAGCTGCTGGTGCTGCTCACCAATTAAGCCAGTGCAGAACTGGAAGCAGATTGTGCCCACCATCAACACAGCCACGTCCTACTAGCCCAGATGCAACTTCCAGCCAAAGTCCTCACTGCAACATGGAAGCACCAGCACGTGGTAAGTTTTCCCTTGGACTTCATTGCTAACACTTCTCTATAATGATGATGAGAGAATGGAGGGCATTAAATGCTGTTCCCAGCTGTTCCCAGCAGTAATTGCACTCCATGTAATACAGGAGGTCTGGAAACATCTTTTCATAAGATTTTTTTTTCTTACTGCAACTTTAAAATGTAAGCCACTAGATAGCTGTGATGTGCATGAGAAATCTAGTCACTGGGTAATGCTTTGTGCTGGACATTGGCTGTAGTGATCACAGATTTAAGTGGGAGAACAATACCATTTTCAGAGGAACATGAGCAGTAAGCATGGGTGACTGGTGCCTCCTACTACTGGGGGAGCATCAGCAGCCTATTGGTGACTGGGGGGGTGTCCCCCCCATTGGCTGTTTGGTGACTGGGGGGCTGGGGACAGAAGGAGAAAAAAATTGGGGGAAGGGCTGAGCACGTGTGCCCCCCCCCCCCGTGTGAAAGTCTGTGGGGGAAGGGGAAAGGGCCATGGAGGGGGAGAGAGTGAGGCTGGGGCTGGCACCAGGCAGGAATTGGACTTGGGGTTGGGGTCCACTGCACCCGTGCAGCTGCCCCTTCCTCTGTGCCAGGGGTCATTGCCTGGCACCAGTGTCCACTGCCCCCCAGCCGTGCACTGGTCCCAGTTTGGCTCCAGCCCCACACCTCCTGGGGAGGCCCAGCGCTGGAGCGGGGCCAGCCTTGGCTGCACCGCTGGGCTGGAGAAGATGGAGCACCAGGGACCCTGGCCCCGGTCCACCCTGTCTAAGTCATCCCTGAGAACAGCCTGGCAGCTCCTGCAGAGCTGTGGTGCTGGGGAGCCAAGAGTGGCACATGGACCCTCCTGATCTTTGCAGGGGACAAGGGTGGGCTGCAGCTGTGAGGTGAGCTGAGCTCTGCCTGCTCTGCACCTCTGTGCCTCGCTGTAGCCTTTGAAAGTGGCACACCGCCATGTGTGTCCCGCTGCTGGGTGGGCCAGACAGCGGGGCACATGGTGCTATGCCGTGCTGCTTTCAAAGGCTGCAGTGAGGCATGGAGCAGGCAGACCCAACTCGCCTTGCAGCTGCAGCCCACCCTTGTCCTGTGCAAAGATTGGGGGTGGGGAGGAGGGGATCATGTGCCCTCCTTGGCCCCGTGACCCTGCAGGAGCTGCCAGGCTCCACTTGTCCCATGACCCAGCCTGGCCAGGGCTCCATTCACCGTGAAGGCTGCGGCGCATTGGAGCCAAGGGGTTGGGGGAATGTGCCACTCCTCCCCCGCATTGTGCCCAGTGGCAGGAGACACCGGGCTCCAATTGCCCCAAGACCCAACCTGGCCTGGCCCGGGCCCCATTCTCCAGGGCTGGGTCATGGGGCAATCCCCACAGTGCAGCAGGGGCAGGGGTGAATGATTCAGCCCTGCCCTTACCCCGCTTCCTCCTGCACTGTGGGGGTCTTGATCTGCCCTCCCCCCCCCCCCGAAACTAAGGGAAGAAAACTTACTTACCTTTCTGCTGTACTGGGCTGGCTGTGAGTCTGGTGCACCCTTTCTTCCTGCTGCAGCAGCTGTGTTGCCCTGGCATTTGGAGGGGCTGAGCCCTGATAACTCCCCCTTCCACTGCCCCCAGTGGCTGATCACCACCACCACTGGAAGTGCCCCTGGCGCTTCTCTCAGGGGGGGCATGGACAATCTCAGGGGGTGCACATGCACCCATGTGCACCCCCTGCACGTTGCTAATGGCAGTAAGCAAGCCCCAGTTCCCAAACAGAAGGAGCAAGTGCACTCAGTGTATAAAATCTTGTCAGTCTGAGTCCTTAACATGCAAGTTTAGCACCTTTTTTACAATTAAAGTTGCTGAGGTGTAGCTTTTTCTGCAGTAGTTAAAAGGTCTGCAGTGGTTTCCAGATTAGCCTTTTATTTCCAGGGTTTTACATCTTTTCTGTGAATGCTAAGACTCTACATGCTGGTTGATTGATAAATCAGTTGTGCCATCCCACGCTCTCACCTTCACAAAATTCTTGCATTTTTCAGTACATCATGTGAAGTTGTCTTTTAGATTTTGAGTTTGAGTCTGATCTCCCATACGCTAACTTTAAACCAGCTTCAGCCTTTGCTGTTTTCAGCGGAGTTATTCCTATTTTTTCATCATGATAAATGAAATTTAGGCCATTTAGGTAACTTTTTGTGTAGAGGGGAAAGTGTTGGCCCTAAGAAATGCAAATTGTACACTCACAATGGACATATATGGGTGATCTGATGCACTCCTTTGAAAGGTCCTCAAACCTACTGTGTTTACAAAAATCAAATACCTTGGGAGTTGGATTCTCTACTCGGTTGACTATAAACTAATCAGGTCTTCCAAAATTCTTTTCCGGCCCATTTCAGCAGAAATGGTACTGCACTGTCAACCAGAGCCTCTTAAACTAGAATTTGACTTTGCTTGGTGTGCTTGATTTGTTTTTTTAAAGTTGTTTCTGCATCCATGCCATTGGTATTCATAACCCAGCTGAACTGAATGTAGCTTGCTGTACCACTCTCATCCAGTGTAATCCACCACTCTTCCTCCAGGTACACACCCTGTTCATGTTACATTTGAGCAGACTACAGGGTCAGCATTTATCATATTTCCTCAAATATAAGACATGGTTTTTTACCTAATCAGCACAGGGAAGAAAGCTTGTCATCTTACATACACATATGAGGAACTCTCATTAAATGTACTCAGTAATGGAAACCAACTACAGAGTTGGTTAAATGGAGCCAACACAGACCATGACTATAAAAGACAAGGCCCATATTGGACAAACACCCTGATGGAAACCTTTTTTTTAATTTTGTGGGGCCCTTAAAAAAAATAGGCAGTTGCTCCACTAGGAAGGAACAAGCACCAGACCTGGAGGTACTGCAATACCAGGCCAGCATTGGAGAGGCTGGAGCAAGCTCAGACAACCTTCCCTGGTGCCAAAAATGCTGATGGGAGCTTACCACATTTTTTAAAATTTAGTTTCTAAGGCCAAATCAATTCTGAATTAAGTTCCACATTTTAACTGAGCAGAATTCAATTGTTCAAGTCCATGTGGGGCTACCGCTGGCAAGTATTCTATCTCCAAGACTCTGTAGTCTGGAGCTTCAGATGCTCCCAAATTCATGCCAGGCATCCTACATGAAAGCCCCAAACCCCCAAAGCCTTGGAGCTCAGATGACCCCTAGTCTCACTTTCTCCTAGCCAAAAGGCCAAAAGAGGAAGCTGGGGGGAAAGCATGAAAGCCTACCACAAGCAGTGGTTAGCACAGCCCATCTGAGTAAGATATATGGTAGTGCCTATTATACTAATTCCCTTCAGTGCTGACTCTCTTGAATACATTTTGACTTCATTTTCACTCCCATAGTTCAGCTGCACCTTTCTTTCCCATTTCCAGTAATTCCTGTTTCTTCACCAGCCTTGGATGTCTGGCAAACATCACCAAATGGGGACCCAAACATTTCACTTAGAATCCCTCTGTCGGCCCCTCTCTCAGTCTGTTGCATATAATTAATGTGGTCCTGCCCTTCATGAAGTATATCTGGACCAGGTTGCCTTGTGCCTCATCTACATATACATTTTTGGAGCATCCCCAGATTTATGACAAGAATACCCAGTTCCAGTCATGAGTAGGGGGCTAATTAGCACGTGGATCCTTTGGGAGTGGTATTTGGAGTACACATGTATACTGAGCAGTGCTGAGTTGTGGGGTCACTATGACTTGAAATACTGTTGTCTCTGCTGGGGCCCAGCCCAATGAACAATATGGCTTATCCTGAGGTTTTTTGGCTTTGGAGTAACATCATATCTGTTTGATATTCCCTGTTTTCTAATAAAATGTTACAAAAAAAAAATGACTTGAAAATTGCTGGGGTCTCGGCAGACCACTTAAACTTTTTTTTGTTCTACAAATCAAAGCACACAACTCATATTTTAATA